AATAGCAAAGAGCTCAACTGAATGATAATCATGTCTCATTGTGTTATGGAAAAAGAAACTTGTGAGTGATGATATAGGACACTTGGCAGAAGAAATCTCTAATCAGACTGTTGAGGGTGCTGCATGGTTTCACTATAAAATGCAAAAAACAGAGAGAAATTAAAGACAGACCTTATAATCAAAAGGGAAGCAGAACATAAAGATTTGTGAAATTCTCAACTTGGACATGTTTGTTCCATTTTCAAAATTACAACAGTGTGTTTTAGACAGAACACCAAGGATGTGGCCTAGCTACTATTTGATAAAGAGACTAGTGTGGGTCAGCAAAGGCCAGGTGCTATTCATGAAGACACCAAAACAGTGACCTCAACAGCATTTTGGAGAATGTTTGTTCTTCTCCTCCCATCACAGGCCCAGATTGCCAAAGCAAGAGTGCAGAACTATGTCTGTATGTTTGTTTGTTTTGGCTGGGGCTGGGTTTGAACCCGCCACCTCTGATATATGGGGCTGGGCCCTAGTCCTTTGAGCCACAGGCACCGCCCCCAGAACTATGTCAAAACAGGGACATGGGTACACCCACAAAACATGAGTGCTTACAGTTAGGAATCCCCCACCCCAAGTATATACTCCTTACATTCAGGTGTAGCCATCCTCCGCCACCCCATGTCTAACTCCAGTGCAATAACCCTGCTTTAGTGGCAGTCTCTCCTGAGGTCATAAACCTTGACTGTGTTCACGTGGAGCCAACTCTGCAAGAGCCCACTGTATGAGAGCTGTGCTTATGTCCCTGCCTCCACCTAGATTTCCAAGGATGCCCTGAAGAACCTCTGAGCTGAGGGAAAGAAGACTGCCACAGGGACAGGGCTGCCATGGTGAGCCCCTCCTAGGGCAATGCCCAGCAGGTCCATGGGAGGCAAAGCCACCCTGCACACCCCAGACCGCCAGAGCCTCCAGCCTGGGATAGCTGCATGCACTTGACTCCAATGGCTGAGAGATGCTGCTTGTGCTGCACCCAGCAAAGCCCCAGGCCCAATTGCCCAGAGCCTCAGGGGCCCAATGTCTGCCCCTGTGTGTGGAGAAGGCAGGACTTTGAATCAAAGAAAATTACTCTTTGCCTTAAGAGGTGATATTTTCCCTGTTTAGTTTTGGATTTGGTTGGGACCTATTATCGCTTTCTTCTTTCCTATTTCTCTGGTTTAGAATAGGAATTCTTCTCCTGTGCCTGTCCTACCACATATTTTTGAAGCACATATTACTTTTATTTCATAGGCTCAATGCTAGAGGGGAATGTGTTTCAGGATGAATCATGCTTGAATGTCACCTATATCTGATTCAGTTATTTTACTTTAATACACACACACACGCATATATATACATATATAACATTTATAATTTCAGAGAAAGGATCTCTCTCTGTCACCCAAGCTTCAGTGAAGTGGCACAATTTTAGATACTGCAGCCTATCATTCCTGTGCTCAAGGCATCCTACTGTCTCAGCTACCCAAGTAGTTAGGACCACAAGTGTGTAACCACCATACCTGGGTAACTTTTCTGTACAGAGTTGAGGTGTTTTTATGTTTCCAAGTCTGGTCTCTTCCTCCAAGACTCAAGTGAATCTCCTGCCTTGGGAGGAGATTGTAGCAGTGAGCCAAGCCACCTGGCCTCAAGTGATATATAGACGATACTCTGGACTCAGACTATTGAAGTGATGCTGAAACAATTTAAGACTTTTGGGGCTTTTGGAATTGAATGAATTTTGCATGGTGGAAGAACATTCAATTATGTGTGTCCCTCCCCCAGTTCATATAACGCAATTTATCTCCAATACTAAGAGATAGGACATTCTGGAGGTGATTAGCTTATGAGAGCAGAGTTTTTATAAATGACCTCTCAGAAAAGAGGCCAAAGGGGGCCCATTTGTCCCTTTTGCCATGTGAGAATACATAGAAGATGTAATCTATGAGAAGCAGGACTTTCTCCAAACACTGGATCTACTGGTACCTTGACCTTGTGAGTCCCAGTTTCCAGAACTGTGAGCAATAAATTTCTGATATTTCTAAATTACTGAGGCTAAGGTTTTGTTTTGTTTTGCCAGTCAGCCACTCAGCTCCCTCTCACAGAGAGCTTCCCATTAGCTTCTTAGAGACCAGACCCTCTCTTAAATAGGAAGAGATGACAAATATTGAAGAAAACCCACCAAATTAAAAAAAGGGTTCAAAATAGTCATAAATAAAAATGACCCAAGACAACACAGAAATTAGCAAACAGAAAGGGAACTGAAAACAAGACCTTAACTTTTATCCTAAAAGGATCTGAGCATGTTTTCTTCATAAAACAAGATCTAGATGCTGTTGAGAATAAAAGACAAAATAAGATTACAAAGAAGAGCAGGGTGATAGAATGTAAACTGGAAGTTTTCTGTTCTGGAATTTCAACTCAAGTCCAAAGCTGGTATTAATACACATAACGGTGAAAGATGACTTCACATTCTAAAGAGAGGGCACATTCAAAGAGACTCAGGGGAGGACTTACTAAAGTGAAAATAGCAGGACTGTCCAGTAGCCACAGCCCCAAGCCACATCTAGAGGCTGCGGATCTGGTTCATGGAAGTGAACAAATCTTTTATCTCTTGTCCATCCCACTTTCCACTCAGCTCTCCTTTGCCCAAGTCAGGTCAAGAGTAGTTCAAGAGACCTCCTAGGACAGAAGAGGGAACTGCCTTTGGAAAAAGACATCTGCCCTCCCACATTCAAGTTGGAGTCTGCTGCCTCAGACATGTTGGAGGTGAGGCTTGTCATGGTACTCCAGATAGTAAGAGAATTTGTGGGAGACTTAATAAGTGTCTCTTGAAGTTTGACAGCCCTCACAAAACAGATAATGATGCCTTTTTCTTATCAGCATATAATAAAGGCAAGAGGTGGTGAGAGCAATTCACCATGACAGAGTGGGGCTGGGGCAATGAAAGCTCTTGGCCAAATGGACTCTGCTGTCTTATAGGTACCCCATATGCAGGCTGAGGAGACCCCTACAGAAATGTGTGGTGAGTTGTAGGGACAGGAGCTGAGTGCTGGGACCATTAGGAAACTCCAGCACATGAAGGTGCACAGAGGTCCTTGTCAGAGTAGTGGCATTGATCACGGACATATGGAGGTCACTGACACCCTGTAGCAGCCCCAGACGTATAAGTCATTAACCTATTTTCTGACAAGAGACTAGAAGATCAGAGCTGGGAGAGGAAGAATATAGGTCAGAACAGACGTTTTCCCCTTTGGCCACTAGCCTGAACCAGGGGCCAGAGACACTCTGTGGATTCAGTGTAAGAATTAAGTTTATAATTTAAGTGCAGTGCATTTATTTAATGCCTAAGAGTGAGTCTTGATTATCAAAATGAGACTGATTATAACCACCAAGAACAGCTGGAAGAAGATGAAACCTGACCAAGATATTGTCATGTGTCAGGGAAGGAACCACTTACAGGACATGGCAGAAGGGAGGAGCTGAAGAAAAATGTCCCCCAGTGAGTTCACCCATTCAATGCACTGTCTACTCATAACATGCAAGACTATGAAGAAATCTACACAAAAAAAGAGCTGAGGAAGTTCAGTGTGATAGCTTGGGGGGAAGGAACTAGGGACTGAGGTGGGGCAGAAATTGGTCTTATTTTTCATCATAAATCTCTTGATACTACTTATGTATAAATCTACATCTATCTACTACTTCTACATCTACATCTTACTACTATCATATTCATCTATTACATTAAGAACATTTTTCAGATGTTTTAAGGTCAACCCAGAAACCTCTATTTCCTAGGTTGATGACAAATGCATGTCACTGGCATCAGCTACGTCCCACACTCATTTGGGTATATCCAGGCTGCCAAACTGGTCTCCAGCATCTATAGAACCTGGGAGGTCTCCAAGCCAGCTACATGCCCTCACTCTTAAATGGTAACCCCGCCTGTTATCATCCTTACTATGTACAAAGCACTGGCTGAAACTCAAAGGGTTTACAGTCAGGCAGGTGAGTTCAAATCTCAGGTCCCTCACTTCTTAGCTGTCACCTTGGGCAAGTTATTTCCCCCTTGGAATCCTCAGTTCTCCTTCCTTTCCACCTACTATGGCATGGGAGTAACATCTGCCATGAAGATTACATGTGACAATGTCAAGATTAAAAATGATAACTACTTCATGTAGAAATGTCCAACCCTTCACCCGTAAGTCCTTTCAGCTGTCTTCCTCCCCCATCCCCCTCTGCCTTCCCCTCTGTCCATCCCCTTTGCTTACCTGCCTACAGTCAGCCATGCCTTCTCTGTTTCTCAACCCCTCCTCACATCTCCATTAGTAGCCCTCTCCTAGCTTCAATCCCTCACATTCCTGTCAAGGACTCCCTTACAGTTACACAAATCAGCTGCCCATTCCTGCCTCTGTCATAACAGACTGCACAAGTCATCACTTCCTCTCTCTTTCCCCACAAGAGTCCCCTCCAGGGAGACTCCTCTGCTTCAGCTCCTAAACTCCTCAAGAAAGTCACCAAGGCCCGCAAATCCTTCTCCAGCCTCACCTCTGTTGCCTTCAAGCCTGACCCTCCCCCTTTCCTTGAACCCCTGCCTTTCAACACTCTTCCTTCTGGCTTTCTGACCACCTATCTGCTGTCCATTTAACTGTCTCCTCTCGGGGTGCTAATCCCAGGGATGCAGATGCTCTGCCCTTGGGTCCTTCTCCCAGGGAAATCCTACCCACTCCCACAGCTTCAGGGCCCCTCCACTCCCTCCTTATGCAGCCCATCAGACCCAGCGCTGTGCCTACCCTGTACTTGCTTGCTCACCAGATACAGATGAGGAGGGGGAACACAGGTGCCCCTGCCAGGAGAAACAGCAGCCTCCAGTGGGGAAGATTATAAGCAAGAAGCACCAGCAATAGGATACCCATAGACAAACAGCAGTGTTCCAGGATTATGGCATGGGCCCGGTGCTCACCTACTAGCCACTCAGTAACTGTGAAGAGGTCAAGAGGACAAAACAATTGTCAGCTCAAAGTTCCCAGGGTACCCCAGTATTCAACCTTTCATATACCTGCCTTGATCTGGATAGTTCAGATTGGACACAGGGTTTTCTGCCTACTTGTGATCTGCACCAAGTCTAGAGACAAGTCTTCAAAGCCAGGAAGAGTGCCTGTGCTCCCCCAGGGGCTCCTTGGGGTCCTTGCCTGACCTTCTGATATCATACATAGCCTCCTATTGCTGCTCAACCTGGCCAATCCCTCTTAACTCCTACCCAACCGCATGCTTCTCATAGAGATGACCTGGTTCTATGCACAATATCCCACAATATTCCACACAGGGCAAGACAAGCAATCCCTGTCCTTGCCTTTGCTCTGAATGTATTAGTGCTCTGGCCATGAGGGCTAGGGCTCTGTGGAAGATCTCCCAAGGAGAAAAGGTCACCTTCCAGGGAAGTCCGGACACACCCAGCATTTGCAGTTATAAGACTGCACTCAGGGCTTCAGCATCACATAGCCCTCGGCTAAAATCCCAGCTTCTTCTCTGAAGTGCTGTTTGACCCTGAGCAAGTTGGTCAACTTCTCTGAAGTACCCTCCTCAGCTAAAGAAACTTTAGAATATTTCCTACTGAATAATGTAAGGATGAAACGAAACAATGCATATAAAGGGTTTAGCAGCTGCCTGGCCCTTCTTCAGGGCTCAATAAATCTAAGCCCTGGGGGTGGGATATGCAAGGAGGAAGTATATAGGGGGAAGGAGAATTGGGGGAATGTGTGAGGTGTGAGGGGTTTAGGGTGGAAAATGAGGGTGGAAGGGCAGTCTGGGCACAGGTGGTCTGGCATCTTCAGACAGCAAAAAGTGGAGATTCCTTCTACTTCTGCTTTCCCAATTAGGCCCTGACTATGTGTTCCGTGGGCTTCCACCAGGTCAGGCCTGCACTGGAACACCCCACTTCTATGCCCCTACCAAGCTCACCATGGCCAGGCTGCCCCTGTCTTTCAGCCCAGCCCTGCCTCTTTATGGTCACCTAAGGATGTACTGGAGATGACATAGCCCACCATCGCCTGTGATACACAGAAGCGGAAGAACAAATATTGCTGAAAACTGTTCACAAAGGCTGTCCCAAAGCCGAAGATGACCAGCCCCAGCAGTGACAGCAGGATGGCAGGGTGGCGGCCAAACCTATAGGAGAGAATGGGAGGATGAACAAAGTGCCAGGATCTCCTTGGCTGGCCCCAGTCAGACATCTGAGCCAGTCCTTAAACCTTACATGGAACCTGAGAAGACTGTACCATCACCTCCCCAGCTTGAGAATCTTCACCTCTGATGTCCAGGAGGAGAAGACACGGTATCCTGGGAAACTCTGGGGACTTACCTGTCACTTAAGAGCCCAAAGAAGATACAGCCTGTCGGGATCCCTGCCATGAACATGGTCTTTACAGTGATCGTGTTCTGCTCCAAGCCACACACCAGGTCAAACTGTGGGTCAGATACAGAGATCTGCCCGGGCCCTGCTTCTACAGGTTGACCTCAGGCTAATGGCTTCCCCTCTCTGGGCCTCAGTTCCCCCACCTGTTCAATGAGAGTGGGGGCACATCTCTGGGCTTGTGGGGTAACCATGGACGACCCAGCACAAAGCACACCTCTATGTTCAGTGATCGCTTGGTGTTGCCAGGATAGATCCACCCATCTTGGCAAGCCTCTGTTGTGTTGAGGCCAAACTGGATAATAGAAGATAGATTCCAGGGCACAGGTAAGTACATGAGGCATGTCAGAAAACTGCCACTGGGATCTCGGGGCAGCGTCAGATTCAGCTGCTCTGCCTCTGACAGGTTGGGGCCCACTGCCAGGATCCAGCTGGTGTTGCAATATGGCTTGTCATTTTCAAACACAAACAGGTCCGTATACATGAAGAAGCCTGCCACGATGTTGGGGATAAAAGTGAGGGCCACCAGCCTCCGCTGGAAAGTGCCAAACTCCCCCACTGCATCCAGGACATCAGCAAACTTATCATCCTGCTTGGTGCAAATGGCCCTCAATCTGCAGAGCAGCCCCTCCAGAGACAGGGTATTGGAAACTGCCTCACGCCGGTTCAAGTTCCAGGAAGTGTTCTGGGATCCTCCCTCTACTTCAGGATTGTATTCTTCTGCCATCTGTTCAAAGAAACAATGCAGTTAGTCTCTACTGACACCCCTAATAGACTGGATATCAGAGACCAGCATGGGAGCCACTCACCAGAAATTGGCCTCTGGCTTCAAACCTTAATGTTACAAGTTCTTCCCACTTTTGCTTTTGAAGTATAGTATAATTAGTATAATCGGACCACCATTGGCCCAACCATCCTGACTTTTAGTGCAAGCTTAAATAGTATTGGCTTAGAAAGTGTTATTCTTCTGTTGTCAGGAATGACTAAGTTCTGAGGACACTTTCGGCAATTTCCCCATGATCTAAACTTCCTTTACTCACATACTGAGGCACCAATGGACTTTCAAAAGGTAGGAGAGACTCTTTCTTCAAGAAAACAAAGACCTGCCTCAGGCATCCAGGAGCTAAGTCCCATGTGGGAGGCTGAAAGCCTTGGTCACAGTAAGTGGCAGTCACATCTGGTACAGGGGGCACCATAATAGTAGGGTGACAGCCAGTAGCATGGAGCCAAACTGCACAGGCAACTAAGGGGGAGGAGGAAAGTAAGCAGTACTGACCATAAGGAGATTGCTACCTTGTAACTACAACAAGGAGATAAACTAAGCTTAAAATTGCTTTGAACCAAAACCCTCAGCAGATCTAAAAGCTCCTGGGCATGGCACACTTTCTCTCTGAGCAAAAACAGAAACAAGCCTCCTCTGAAGGAAAATTTCTCCAAGTTGAGGCTGCAGGACTTTGACAGATAAATGTCAACTTGAGAGATTATAGCTTGAGAAGACAAGCCACTCTGACAGTGTGAACAGAACCCAGAGACAACAGACTTAGACTGTTGTCTATTGGGACCGTCAGATACAGAACACAGAACATCTATTGAATCAACTTCCTAAAGAAATAAAAGAAATAATTTCAAAATGAACTTGGAATTCCTTTGGAAAGAAGACAGTAAAATTCTAAAAATCAAATCTTATTAAATGGGAAGTTGTGATTTTTGATGTTAAAAGATTAATCAAATTTGACACAAAGAATTAGTACATTGGCATATACAGCTGAAATGTGAAGGAGAGGTTTATAAAAGGTTGGTAGATAGACAGTTTAAAATGTATCCAACTGGAATCCCAGAAGAAGAAATGAAGAAGTATTATTAAACAAATAAAAATAACTTTTCTAAAACACGAGAAATCTTATGTAGGTTCAGGAAAAACTGATGTCAAGGAGGATATAAATAAAAAAGAAACCTATGGCTAGACTCACTGTAATGAAGCTGTTGGATACTAAGGAGAAAAGATTTTGATAATCAGCTAAAGAGAAGACAGATCACTGACTAATGAACACCTTCAGTGTCTGCTATCAAGAAGTACAGGGTGTTAAGCAACAAGGAAGCCAGAGATTATGAATAATACCTTCAAAATGAGTATAGAAAATTATAGGATGGCTAGAGTTGTTTACCCAGCAAAATTATCTGTCAAGAACTGTTCCCTCAGCCAGGCATTGTCTCACGCCTGTAATCCTAGCACTCTGGGAGTCTGAGGTGGGTGGATTGCCTGAGCTCAGGAGTTGGAGACCAGCCTGAGCAAGAGCGAGACCTCATCTCTAATAATAGCCAGGTGTTGTGGTGGGCATCTTTAGTCCCAGCTACTCAGGAGGCTGAGACAAGAGAATCACTTGAGCCTAGGAGTTTGAGGTTGCTGTGAGCAGTGATACCACAGCACTCTACTGAAGTAATAAAATGAGACTTTGTCTCAAGAAAAAAAAAAAAAAGAACTGTTCTCTTTCTCTCTGTACTTATGCCTACCATGTGAACTTTATAATCCATTATAGTATTTAAAAAATAGCTGAATGTACTTTTGATGAGATTGTATTGAATCTATAGGTCAAATGAGACAGAATTTACATTTAACAACAGTATGAAATTCTCTAATCTGGGAGTATGGAATGAAGACAAGTAAAGATATCTGCATTTCTTGAGTTAAAAAATCTTATGGATACTTCACAAGTGAAAGAAAAAAATTACAGTGGAAAATTTCAAATATTCATAAATTATGAGTGATAAAAATATAACATATCAAAAATTATTGTTGGTATAAAGTTCAACTTTGTGAGAAATTTATAGCTTTAGTGTTTTACAATAGAACATTAAAAATATTAAAAATTGATCAACTAAACATCTTACATAAGAAGTGAGAGAGAAAACAAACTAATAAAGTAAACAAGGTGGTAATAAAGTTAAGACAAAAATAAATGAAACAGAAAACAAAAAAATAGGGGAATTAACAAAGTCCGAAGTTATTTCTTAACTACATTAATAAGATAGACAAATTTCTGGTAAAATTATATAAAGAAATAAAAAAGAAGCCACAAATAAGTCTTATGTAAATACAAAAAGGAATATACAGATACAGCAAGTTTAAATATATTAACTACTAACATCAACTTTATGCCAATGAATTTGAAAAGTTATGTGAATTAAATTCCCAGAAGAAAATTAATGAAAATAGAAATTAGAAAAAATAGCAGGCCTTACAAGTTCTATAATGGCTAAGGAAATTAAAGTAAAAGTTAAGAATCTCCTCCCCTAAAAAAACATGAGTTACCAAACTTACACAAAATAACTTCTTTTCAGAAAATAAGAGGAGATATACTCCCAAGTCATTCTTACTTTGATTACAAAACCAGAAAACTGAGGGTGGAGGCAAGATGGCAGACTGCAGCCAGCTTTCCACAGAGGCTCCTGTCCAGAAGGAGAATTAAAAGACAGAAGTTTAGCAAGTAAGCTGATGGTTTGAAGCTGAGCCAAGAGAGAAGGTTAAAGAATGCACATCAACCCTGCTGAGGCAAGCTGTGACCCCAAAGATACAAACAAAAGGTACTAAATCTATTGCCAAGCGGACAGGAGTCCCGTCCGCATGAGAAAGGCTCGCAGTAAACTCCATACAAATAAACAAGTGAGAAGAGTTCAAACATCCTCCCATTCCATCCCACGGGAGAGACCCTCTAAAAACTGGACCTCCTACCCCTACTATGGTGCCATGGCATTCCCCTGCTAGGCATAAAACTGTATATATTCTCTACCCGCAAATTTGAACTCCCAGCATTCCCCTCCACTCTCACCCCAGGTCTGGAAGCCTGTCCCCCATGGAGTCCAGATTCTTGGGCATTTTCTCAAGAGGTGTGGATGGGGCAGGAGCTGTTTCTGGTCTGTGCTGATTCTGTGGCATGGGAGTGAGGAGAGGATGGTCAGCTGGGAGGGAACCACACAAAAGTTGTGATGCCTGAGGTGTAGAGCAGCAGCAGCAACAGTGGGAACAATAAGGCTCATGCCCCTGGGTCTTTTCTGAATAGACACGCCCTGTCTCTCTGGGCAAACAGAGGAAGCCAGGCATCTTCTCCGGTGGCAGCAACTGGCAGAATGGATCGCCCCATGAGTAAAGGAAAGGTGGCCTGAGGTGATAGCAGCTTTGGGCAGAGCTCGGGACTAGAATATGCATACAGAGAGCCAGCAGACTCCCAGGGCAGGACTGAGCCAGAGGACTACTTTGGCTCAGATGCACCTGGCCCTCAGGGGATCATAGCTGAGACAAAGGTGGGCAGGCAGAGGCTGGAACTGACAGCTTAATTGCTTGCCATTACCCTGGACTCAGTCCTGGTTTTTGTCAACTCAAGCAGCGTCTGATCTGCAGGGGAAACTCTGTGAAGTTGTTCTGTCCTGTTCTGCCGGCAGCCTCAGTCAGGGATGGGGCTGGAACTGAGTGAACTGCACCAGCCTCCATTAAGCACCCAAGATTGTCAGGCCACACCTCCCCCTACCAGATAGTAGCAGAGAGCAGCAGCCTGGCTCAGGACATATAGATCTCCTTGTCATTCAGGCAGTTGTAAACCCCTGGAGCATCTGCTCCTTGGAGGGAACTCAGTCACAGCCCTATGGGGTTAGAAGTGACTGGATGTGACAGAGGTGCAAGGTGGGGAAGGAGGCATCAATCTTCCCAGACTAATTTATTTGCTGGGTGGGTCCTTCTGACTTCACAGAGCACTGGAGTGAGTCATACTTGAGCTGCTAGCAGACCCCTGCCGTCTAGTTGCTGGAGACATTTTGAACTCTCCTACCTGAGACCGGTGCTGACTGGGACAATTAATTTGGACCTCTCGAACTGGGCCAATCACCTGAGGACTATCCAAAGTGGTACTCTGGGTATGTGATTGCGGGAAGGTTTGATTTATCTTTTCCAATTGTTGCTTGTGCAGGGTGGGGTGACTTAATTTCTGGTATTTCTCCACAGCTGAAACTTCAACCCAGAGTAACTGATTCACTAGGGTAGGACAGAGACCAGCTGAAAACAAGACAGAGCCAGTTAGCCCCAGCACACCAAGTAGACCCCTAGGTACCCAGGCCCTAGCACTGTATGGGTCCTTGGCAAAGCTCTAGGAGAAAAGGTACAGACACCAGTCCCAGTTTGGGGGCAAAGGGCTACTTAACCACTACTCCTGGAGCCCCAAACCCAACTTGTCCTGATCTGCTCAACTAGCCAAATGGTGTAAAATAAGCATGGGGCAGAATCAGCGGAAAAATTCCGGTAACATGAATAACCAGAGTAGATCAACCCCCCCACCCCCAAGGGAGGATATGGCAGATGCAACTAAAGACCCCATTCACAAACAGATGGCTGAGATGTCAGAAATCGAGTTCAGAATCTGGATAGCAAATAACATCAACAGAATGGAGGAAAGGAGGGAATTAGAATTTCAAGGAATTATTCAAAAGATGTCTCAAGAATTCAACAATTTCAAAGATAAAATGACCAAAGATTTTAACACATTGAGGCAAAAGCTTGCAGCCCTCAAAGATCTGAAAAATACAATAGAATCCCTTGGCAACAGAATGGAGCAGGCAGAAGAAAGGATCTCTGACACTGAAGACAAAGCTTTTGAATGTGCCCAAGTGCTCAGAGAGGAAGAGAAATGGAAAGCAAAAATGGATCATTCTCTCACAGAACTCTGGGATAGTTCAAAGAAA